CACCTGGCCATCGATTTAAATTCCAAGTGAGTCCAGGGATGTCAGTAGAGTACAGTGGGGCATTTGAGGGGCAATTTTCAAGATAATGGTAACAGCCACAGCTCACTCAACCATTTTTTTTATTTACTTTCAGACCGGTCTGCTTTACATATCCAAACAAGTGTAGCTGAAAACCTTTAATGGCAATGCATTTACAACCACGGGAGTCCAGAGGTGTCAAAGGTTCAATCTGAGGTAAAATACTTCAAGTCTTTTAGTTGCTTCAGGGAATGCTACTGTGGATCACGTCTAAAGAAATAATTAAGAACAAGGCTTTTCCCATTTAAAAAAAAAAATAAAGCTAAATATAGGTCGCAGGCTTGTCTATCATTCAACTACAACCGTGAGAAACACTTCATTTCTCACCACTTTAAAATCATAAAGGCCTCTGCACACCAACCGGACGGCCGACCGTCGGCAGAAAAGAAAAGCAGTCGGACTGATCAGTCAGCTCGGGACACACCGAACCAATTCGAGTCACCGACCTCGCCCGACTGTCCAACGACGTCCGATAATCGGGTTGGTGTGCAGAGGCCTTAAAAGGTTACATTAGAACCACAGGTATAATTACCCTTGAGAAAAGACTTGGTCACAATCTAAAAAAAACCAGGGATTATTATGTGTGAAAGGGGAACAACTTTTCCTTCCTTCCTTGTGAAGGAGAGAACAGATAAATGTCAATGAACTACTCGGTTTCTTTGACCCCTGTCTGTCCTTTCCTCTGGGCTTTCAAGGACTCAAAATAGAGTCAAGACACACAACATGACACTGGGCCTGACCACGTGTGTGTACACATTCGCTGGCGCACATGCCGATGTATACACACAAACGCTGTGTTCAAATCTCAAAAACAGAATCGGTTTAATTAGGGAAGGCCTGCTAGACCATCAGGTAATAAAAGTAAAACCTAGATTTGATTAGAAATCATACAGCATGTAGTGTTAATCATATGGGAAGCCGGGTAGGTCGGCATACTTTAATGTGTGAAATCCTCCCAGTGTCCAGTATGAACACACAATAGCTAATGTAGAGCAGTCATTTAAAGCTGCTGCTTATTTTACGGTAACAATGGGGAAAAGACCTATGTGTAATCTGAAAGCCGTTGGTATCAGTGACTAACCCACAGGGAATTATCTGTAGTTCCCCCCGGCTCACTGGTGCATTTTAGCCTCTTTTAGCTCATTGTTCAGATTTTCCGACCTGCTACTTCACTGTTTTGGTTCAATCTCAGTCATATTTCTATTGTAAATAGATCTGAAAGACCCTCTAACCTGCCCACGGGGCTCGAAATGTGTCCAGCAACTGTCTCTGACTTAACAACCACTGTCTCAAATTAAAGTCCTTTTTTTCCATTCTACACAATCAATATAGTTTGATAACTTTGTTTCAGTAACTTACATCACACCACTGACTCACTCTGGTCTGCCATGGAAGTGGATCAATAAATGCATCACTGCAAACTTTAAATTTGAACCTGTTTTTCGGATGGCGATGGACATTAACATACACGCACTTTAAATTATTATTTAGCCAAATAATCACAGACTCACTACAGGGACATAATATATTTAAAAAAAAAAAAAACATTACATAGGGAGGGAGAAGATGACACCAACTATCTAAATATTTACAAGCTCAAATGAACTATGTACATATAAGTTATGGGAACACCCTAATCCAGAGATCTGGAAAGAAAGAGAGAGAAGGTCAAACATGCCCCACACACTGTACCTATTGACTGCTGGCGCAAGAGCAGAGGACGAGACCCCGGCGATGTTGGCAGAAGAGCCGTGGACTACGCACGGGAATAGGCTTTTACGATAGTTGATCAATCGATAGGGTGATTGACAGAAACTTAATCCAGTAGTTGGTTTAGTATTTTTTACATAAATGTGAGGATTCTATACATTTCTATGTTGAACGTGACAGCAGATCGAGGCATTTGGGTTGAAAACCGTAACAGGCATTTTTCAGATTTATCTGGGCATTTACAGGCAAAACAATTAGTTTGAGAAAAAATAATAATTTGTCAGACGAAGACAACATGAAGCTTTTTGCCTAAAAGCGACTCAACAGCTTAAAGTTCATCTCTCATCGGATTTTCACTTTAATATTAACCCGAACATGAGATAGTGGTGGAAGCACTTGTGTGAACAAAATGCTTGGACACCAAAAAATCTAAATCTTGCCATCAGACGGGACGTTTCTCAGGTGCTGTGTATCTTTCCAACCAGCACAACATCTGAGGCACGCAGCAGCTGTTACTGCAGTATAATGCTTAATGGGACCTATTACCTAAATGTCACAGGTTCAGGCCTCACTGGAGCCGTTCTGCTCTGTGAAAATGTCCCCCCCCCCCC